CCCCCCCCCCCCCCCAACTTTTTTAGAATATATAAATAAGAATCTTTATTTTTAGCACCTAAGAGATAGCCGTGTCATTTTTCAAATAATAATATTATTTGAACATAATTTATTAAAATAATTTATTGATTTAATTCATTAAAATTACTGGATTGATTGTAGGTCTCCACAAAAATATTAAAATTTATTACCAATTTAATAATTATAAATAATTTGATCAACAAATTAAGTTTAAATACTGTATCTCTGTTTTTCAAAAGTCGGGGCAGTAGTAGTGTGGTATTCAGAATGTGTCTTGGATTGCTTCAGAGAACATCAGAATTTGGGTTTTGCATAATTTATGTGGGGTGCACTTCAACAAAGACTGACTTATTATCAATAANTTAGAAATAATTAGATCAACAAATTAAGTTTAAATAATGTATCTCTGTTTTTCAAAAGTCGGGGCAGTAGTAGTGTGGTATTCAGAATGTGTCTTGGATTGCTGCAGAGAACATCAGAATTTAGGTTTTGCATAATTTATGTGGGGTGCACTTCAACAAAGACTGACTTATTATCAATAAGCCCGGTTCTACTCCCGGCAAATTCAATTTCCTTGATCTCTTTTTTGGACGGAAAAGATAGAAGTTGGGTTGTGTCATTGAACACAGTTTTCTATGTTTTATAAATTTATATGAGCTGTTTTCACAGCAAAGCGTTTGTAGTCCAACGGTTAGGATAATTGCCTTCCAAGCAATAGACCCGGGTTCGACTCCCGGCAAACGCATTGTATGTTTTTTGTAATCTCTGCAAGTGTAACTCATATTTTAACTCTTTAGTTTTTAACGGTTAAGAGGGAGGATACACAGAGCATTATATTCCAAATGGACACATCAATTGGTTCGGTTATGCAAAATCAAGAGAGAATAAGTCAATTATATACACTACCCATCAATCTCAACAGTGCTGGGTGTTTGCATAAGCTTGATAACAACAAATACATTAGACATGGGAATGAAAATTGAAAGAATTCATTATAAACACACCCACGGTCAGAAAACATGTCCAAAATCTGCAAAAAAGATTTACAAACCAATATTTTTACTCTGCATCGCCTAATGTTTGCAAACTGTTGAGCACCAAACTGAGATGATTGGTAGAGGAAATTGAAATAATTGTTCACCACACACACTGTTTGGTTCCACGAAAAAAAATCACAAGGTTCCTCAACTTATCTCTTGTAAGTTGTAACAAAGGTGATCCAATTCATTATAATCTACCAAGTGGGGACTCCGAGGCATGATCATCCACCAACCATAGGCCAAAATCGTGGAAACGCTTTATCTTTTTCTCAAAACCAGTGATATAATTGTTGTGAATGATGACATGCATTCCCTTAGTTTCCTGCACCCATGTCTGGTTTTTGAAGTATAATCCACCTGTTGGAAATGCTGCCTGAGGGAGCAAATAGAGGTCCACCTGCAGCAATTTCTTTCATAAATGACCTACCTTTCACTGTGAACAAGGCAACAAAAAAATAAGCATGAAATCATCTGAACTCTGAAGTATATTTTCAAGTTTCAAAGAATTTTTGAGAAGGCCAAGGCCTGCAGGGGGAACAATTAGGGCATGGGAGCTTCATCACCAGAGAGAACAAATTTCTCAACCTTCCATAGAAAACAAGACTTTTCTACAGTACGTCAAAAATGAGAAATTCTACAGTAGCACAGGGGTTGGAATCCTACCTCATAGGACAACCATGAATATCTATCCCATAAGGCAATTTCGGTTCTTCAAAATCGAGGCTAGAGTTGGCCTGAACCCATCTTAAAATAATCGCTTTTGTAGGAAGAAGTGTATATGCTATTTTCACTAAAGGAATTAGGCATATTCCTGGTTCTAAGTCAGAATAACACATTGATTATATGTCTTTGATGAATGACCTCAACTTTGTGCCTTCATGAAAATAGTTTAGACAGTGGCTCATGGTAATTCTTTAATTAGGCATAACCCTAACATGCTTTCTCAGTGGCTGCTTTCAGCAATTCATCAAAGAACTAAGCCTCCCAAAAAGTTTGAGTTTAAAAATAAACCAAGCAGCAGAAATAAGAACAAAAACAGAAAATACCTGTCCAGCAGTTTTGTTTAATGCCCAGTTAAAGGCAGGCTGGTCATTTGCTTTCTTTGCTTTGGACCATGGCTGAGCCTGAAGTTCTTCAATCCACTTCTTCATAACTAGTTTTGCTCCACTAGTAGGCCGCAGATAAATCATGCAGCTGCAAATGTAAGTCCGCCCCTTCTTTCCTGGAGGTGGCAAATTGTGAGTATGTTTCAGAGGTTTCACCTGGTCGTCCAAAAGGAGACAATACGAGAACAGCGCTTTCATCATTTAATACTCAAGAATGCTCACTAAAGGAATGAATTATAAGCCTACAAGGGCAGGGAGCAGTGTCAATCAGTGTATTTAAATCAGCTAAATATGATGTTGTAGGGAGTTACGATACTTTGATCAGGACTTATACTGCATTAACTAAACGGATACATAGAGTGACAGCATCAACTCCAACCATGCTTTAATCTAAGTCCATCATTTANTTGTAGGGAGTTACGATACTTTGATCAGGACTTATACTGCATTAACTAAACAGATACATAGAGTGACAGCATCAACTCCAACCATGCTTTAATCTAAGTCCATCATTTAGAAAATTTATACGAGGTCGAAAAACAATTTCTAGCATATGGTATGCATCGTCTGCCAAGTTCTTTTTGAATATTAAGTTATATTTTGACAGCTTATGTCCAGCATATCTGCTACCACTGTTTTATTTTTGATAAATAGCATAAATCTGACTGAAGTAAATTCGACAGTAGAGGTAAAGTAAAGATATATACTGCAGCCATATCATCTGTGAAGTACACATCATGCTCCCCTTGCAAATAAGGAAATGGATCTGCTAACCAGACCATATCAACATCATTGTACATAACATTGTACCCAAGCTCCAGAATCTGCAGTAGATGGCGTGGCCTCCGGGATGTAAAATTGAAGAACCCCTGTAATATTATCTCAGTGTTATTTCCAATGCACAAAACCAATAAATCATGATGCTGAAGTAAGCAAGAAAAAGTTAAGCATATATGTCAGGGGTAGCTTCAATTTTCTCGATGGCTTGTTCGGGAAGGAACACTACCACAAAGGAAAACTCCCATACTAAGGCCATGGCTACGTATGATCGTAAATGTTGTTGGACACTATCCTATAAAAACAAGTAAAAAAATGCCAGAGCAAAGCTAGTAGGTGCAGTTAGTTCTTGGAGAGTGACAACTGACAACCTTTCTTAAAACATGGATGTTTAATTTTGAGGAAATGCAAACTTGTTCACATAATCTATCTGTATTCTTGTGCTACAAGCACGGTGGCCACAGGGGTTTCCAAATACATAAACCTGAAAAGTTCAAAAGCAACAATCCTTAATGAAAGCTTGTCTCATGACGTCCTCATTCAAGTCAATTCTAGCCAAAAAAAAAAGCGAAGAAGGGAGGGGGGGGGAGCTGAATCACTAAGTTAAAATAAGCATTCATCAAGGGCAGGGGAGTAGATGCAATGCCGTTGCCCTTGTCAGGATTAGACCTTCAGAAGTAGTTTTACAACAGGAAAATTTAGCAATTGAAATACACATCAGGAGGGGTTTGAACAGGAGTAGTAGAGATCAAGCACATATCACACAACTTCAATACAACAATAAGACTTACATACAATTAAAATCTGCACAAAATAACCAAATACCCACTTGACAAAGAACCCAAAAAACATATACCTGAGACCCAAACTTATGAGCAGTTTGAGCATCCGGCGCCGGCGGAACCAGCACAGCATGGCCAGGCCATTTCTCATTAACCTTATACAGAGTCGCATAATCCTCCGCGATCACAAGCACCTTCTCCTGATGCTTTTGCCTAACTATACTAATCAACCAGTTATTCAGAAAGGGCAAGTAAGGCTGACTCACAGCACAAACGATTACAGTCCCATTCTGGGCTACATTCGCCACCGCCTCGGATAATGTGTAGTCCTTCCACTTTGAGTCTGAGAGTTTGGAATTGGTACTGAAGAGACCTTGGGGTATACTAATCCATGGGAAGATAACTCCGAGGAGTACAAGGAGGATCAAGAGGAGTAAGAAGGTGGTTCGGCTGAGCATGGTTGTGGGTTTTTGGTAATTAGTTGGAGATCGAGGGGATAACGAGTATGGATCCGAGAGAACACTGTGAAGTGGCCTTTGATGCAAAAATCCTGACATTGTCCTCGCAATCACCAACTGCTAATTGAGAAACATGTCAGAACAGATCTATATCCATGTACAAGTGAGCTTATAATGAATATCAAAAGTGAGAATTTTAGGGTCTCAACAAGATTGAAGAAGCAAGTCGCTAGGGAGTTCACCGAGGGATGGTGACGCTCAGATCTGCGGAGGCATGCTGTGTTGTAGTGGCTTTCGGTTATATTGGTGGTAGAGGTAGAGGTAGAGGTAGAGGTAGAGGTAGAGGTAGAGGCGTAGAGCAGTTTCTGTACGCTGGGCCTTTTGAGGAGTATTGGGCCTGAGATTTGGAAAAATCAATCCATACTCCCTATTCTACCTAGTAGATAGAGAAAATCTATACTAGTANCGTAGAGCAGTTTCTGTACGCTGGGCCTTTTGAGGAGTATTGGGCCTGAGATTTGAAAAAATCAATCCATACTCCCTATTCTACCTAGTAGATAGAGAAAATCTATACTAGTAGATTTGACATCTCATTGTGAAATATCTACATTATTCTTTAATTATTATTCATGAGTTCAAAGTATTACAGGCCCAACACAACTAGCACTCAAGTAGGTTGTCATGACCAATGTCTTGCTCATGATCACGCTTTCAAACTAACGGTTACACACATTATTCAAATTCTGATAAAGGGCTTAATGAAAATAAATAACAAGACTAGGGCCGATTGAACATGGTAATCAGAATCGGAATGAAAACAATATAATTCTCTTACTAAGAATTCATTAATTAAAAAATGTTAACATGCTATAAACATACGACTTTGTTAGTCTAATAAAATAACGTGGCAGTAACATACAAGTATGAGATCATTTGATCCACAAGGAATCACTTCTTCAAATCTCTTTTCCATCTCTTCCCTGTGTATTACATGTTTATAAGACCCTTAAACATACTAGTTCATAAAACATCTCAAGCCAACTTCTAATCTGCATGAAAACGCAGTGGTAAGTGTCTGTATTTTTTATTTTATTCTGATAAGTAGCTAGTTTGATGAGCTTCTCATTCCTCTGCATAAGTATCTCAATAACCATCGCGATAACCATTCAAAGGCTTTCATCGAATATCAAGCAACTTTCACAATAACACTACCAAACTATTACATGTACACAAGACAAAGATTGAAATAAATGGTCATCAAGGAGTTATTTTATACAATCGTTCTTCTGGAGCATTCACTTGATAAGCAAACAAATCTCGTGATCTTCACCACGAATCATATACAATTTCTGCTTGTTATTCACTGCCAAACAAAAGGGTTCGGCAGTTGCGGATTAATTTTGAAGAACCAATGAATGATCAAGGAATAAGTTCACTTTATCAACAGGTGTAACACCCCCCCCCCCTCCTCCCCTTTTCTTGTCCATCCCCCCGAAAAAATAAAACATAATCGATAAGTTAGGTGGCTGCCATTTTCAACTTGTGACCTGAGGTTTCATGAGACAGGGGAGGTCTTCAGTTTTGGTGTCTTCTGTTTAACAAAGAAAGCAGAAAGCACACTCTTGCTGCGAACTGGGGCACGGACAATCTNATTCATGAGACGGGAGGTCTTCAGTTTCGGTGTCTTCTGTTTAACAAAGAAAGCAGAAAGCACACTCTTGCTGCGAACTGGNTTTCATGAGACAGGGGAGGTCTTCAGTTTTGGTGTCTTCTGTTTAACAAAGAAAGCAGAAAGCACACTCTTGCTGCGAACTGGGGCACGGACAATCTCACGTCGAGGTGGGTTATCAAATGATCGGAATCCTGTCAACGACTTGGAGCCACGCTGAGAATCCTACAAAACAAACAACTATTCATTAACTTTATGTCTATTTCTCATCCAACAAAATAGCGGTGGGGCATAGGAGGATAAGCTAATTTTACAAAACAAGAATTCAAGAAACACATCTGCTTCCAAACTAATGAGCACGCAACAAAAAAATTTGACAGTTATCAGTGTTATAACTAATAGACATTTTCTAGATACAAGTACAACAACTGCAGGTCAGATTATCTACGCCAAGTAATATTTGAAATTATGAATGACATTCATTGGGANCATTTGATCCACAAGGAATCACTTCTTCAAATCTCTTTTCCATCTCTTCCCTGTGTATTACATGTTTATAAGACCCTTAAACATACAAGTTCATAAAACATCTCAAGCCAACTTCTAATCTGCATGAAAACGCAGTGGTAAGTGTCTGTATAGTTTGATGAGCTTCTCATTCCTCTGCATAAGTATCTCAATAACCATCGCGATAACCATTCAAAGGCTTTCATCGAATATCAAGCAACTTTCACAATAACACTACCAAACTATTACATGTACACAAGACAAAGATTGAAATAAATGGTCATCAAGGAGTTATTTTATACAATCGTTCTTCTGGAGCATTCACTTGATAAGCAAACAAATCTCGTGATCTTCACCACGAATCATATACAATTTCTGCTTGTTATTCACTGCCAAACAAAAGGGTTCGGCAGTTGCGGATTAATTTTGAAGAACCAATGAATGATCAAGGAATAAGTTCACTTTATCAACAGGTGTAACACCCCCCCCCCCTCCTCCCCTTTTCTTGTCCATCCCCCCGAAAAAATAAAACATAATCGATAAGTTAGGTGGCTGCCATTTTCAACTTGTGACCTGAGGTTTCATGAGACAGGGGAGGTCTTCAGTTTTGGTGTCTTCTGTTTAACAAAGAAAGCAGAAAGCACACTCTTGCTGCGAACTGGGGCACGGACAATCTCACGTCGAGGTGGGTTATCAAATGATCGGAATCCTGTCAACGACTTGGAGCCATGCTGAGAATCCTACAAAACAAACAACTATTCATTAACTTTATGTCTATTTCTCATCCAACAAAATAGCGGTGGGGCATAGGAGGATAAGCTAATTTTACAAAACAAGAATTCAAGAAACTCATCTGCTTCCAAACTAATGAGCACGCAACAAAAAAATTTGACAGTTATCAGTGTTATAACTAATAGACATTTTCTAGATACAAGTACAACAACTGCAGGTCAGATTATCTACGCCAAGTAATATTTGAAATTATGAATGACATTCATTGGGAAACAGAAATAACAAGTAGATGAAAATAGAAAAAACTGCAAAAATTCTAACTCGGTCTTCCACAATATATTCTATAAAATATACCAGACAATAACAAAAGTCCAGAGGTGTCTAACAATAAATTAAACCTGCTTGCAAAGAATTATTTACGGACAAGGAACATGTACCAGATTCACAGCCAGCATCTGGAAATTACCACCTAACAACAACATTTCCAGCTTGAACTTCTCTAGATTTCTCTGCAAATTTCTGTACTCATAATATGCCAATTAGCAATTCCCTATTTCTTATCCAGTTCCTTGATTGGAATAATTTGAACCACTTTCCTTTTGATCCTCCTAACCTCCATAAGGAGACTACTCTTTGCTTCCTTTTTAATTTATAGACAGATATTCTGAGTAATTCACTCTTCACCAGGAAGTTCAAATAGGAATTTCTTTCAGCAGCACCACCGGCCATGACCTCAACAGATTTTGTGACATGCTATTATCAGATGAAATGCCTAAGAATACATTTTTTTTCTTTAAGCATATTGGAATCTAGTAATACATCCAAACATTTTCATCTGGCAGTTTCCCAAGCACACATATTCTTGACATCTAGAATCTCCAGCAATAGGTCAATAATTCATGGCTTAAAAACTGAACTTTATCAGAGAATGACGATGAACGAGGATTAATCACCTTTCGTCACAATCTTAAACTTCAAAGTTGAAGATAAATGTTTCACTCTCCCAATGTCAACTTCAAATCATCAGCCACAGTTGAAATGCTACTTTCATGCCAATTAATCACATGAAAATTCCATATCATCCTCACCTCAAGCAATAGCCTACCAGAGCCTACCATAGCAAAGCCCTATGCTTGGAATCTATTTTGACTTCGTCAAGGTGTGTGGCTCTTTTACTGCCAAAACAATTATTCAAGGGGAAAAGAAAAACACTATATTGATGCAAGCCTATTATCCACAAAATAAATATCATGGCTTTAATGAAGTAGCATCTTGACTCATGCCTTCAACTTGTACCATTCCCACTCCGAAACACCTTAGGTTTCAAGCTGGTATTATTACAAAACTGAGCTGTAATCAATAAACTCATTACCAGTGGGTCTTTGGTCCAATGGTACTCCTTGTCTTGTTGAGATCAAGGGTTCAAATCCCCATTCTCCCTCCCCCTCTCCCCCCCCCCCCCCCA